TCATTATGTCGTTCAATTGCAACTGAAAGGGAAGAGATTGGAAAGAGAAGAGGAACACAACCAAGAACCTATGTCACTTCTCCCTCATCTCGCCACCAGCTTCCTCATCCAGCATCTCCCCCAACATCTTATCAATAATAACAGTCAAGAACAATAATAAATGAATGAATAAATGAATGAATAAATGAATGAAGGAAGGAAGGAAGGAATGAAGGAATGAATGAAGGGATGAATGAAGGAATGAACTAGAATGTCCAAATCTTCCCCTTATTGCCGGCCACTCAGGAAGCCCATAATAGCCATTCTACACCTGTTTCCATGCCTTGGGCTAAACCGGTGGCTATTGCGGCACGCCTTGGGTAAACTGGTCGCTATTGCGGAGCATTGGATACAAGCTGGCAAGCTCCCATATTCAAAGGACGACGCAAAGCTTCTATGTCTCTCCGACTATGGCCGCGATGCCCCGTTCCACTCTCGGAATCTCCCTCACAAGTATCACCCCAGTTAGGGCCTTCCAGGTGCAGCGCCAACCAAGAAGATGAAGCTGCCGGAGCACCATAGCAAAGGTAAGCTCCCTCCTTCACTCTCCTCAACATCCTTCTTCCACCTTCTACTACACTCCTCCTTGGAACCTTCCACCATAGCCGAGGCTGATGCCAAGCCCAGCATTCTTCAGCCATCCAGCGCTGCCTCTGCCGGGCGGTCTCTCCAGCAGCATGCCTCCCAGCTGAATGCGAGCAAACGAGAGTGAGCGCCACTTCGCGCAGCTGCTTCTAGGCCGCACGGCCTCCCAACTCCACTGGTACCTCCTACTTTTGCACGGAACATCATCGTAGTCTGATATTCCCCTCCACCAGGCTCTAGCTAGGCTCCAACCTACTGGACTGGTACCTCCTCCGAAACCTAGCTGACTCCTAAGACCTACCTCAGCCTCCCAAGGTATTTACTACCTTTGTGTCTTTTCTGCCTACCTACCCGCTACTTGAGTGTTTCTGACTTCTGCGGGCCTACTCTACCCTACTTCCTCACTGCAACCCAACACACACACGGCCACACGCATGGCCACAGGTGAGTACCGGGCGCGCGGGCCATTCCAGCAAACAGGTTTATCCCCACTGGGTCTCACACACACACACACACACACACACACACACACACACACACACACACAAACAATCAGTTTTATGTATGTCTCTTTTTCTCTTGTTGTCTATCCTCCCTCTGATCTTTTTCTAAGTAATTTTGTTAACCAAACTGAGCACCCTTAAGTAGTGCCAAACAGTCGGTGGTTCCTCGTTTGGAGTGCCAACTGCACTCTTCGGGGGGCGCTCGGTTCGGGATGTCTGTGTTGCCTGTTGGTGATGACGGATGGTCGCCGGAGTGTCTCCCTGGCTCAGCAGGTGGTGGGAACCAACAGTCTGCGGTGTTCACCCATGATGTGAGTAGGTGATGTGCTGCTTTGCTCCGTGTTGGATGTGTGGACGTCCTTGTCTGCGCTCCGCCGCTGCCCTGCTGCCTGTCCCGCTTGCTTCGCGTGCGGCTCTCTGCGAATTGTTGTGTTCGCTGTGTGGTGTGGCCGTGTTGCTGGTGTTGCCTTGCACTTCGCTGCTTCGTTGCCATGCTGCTCATCCGCTGGTCGTGCCTTCTGTGTTTGCCGCTTGTGTGCCATGTAGTTGGGTTACCTTGTTGCCGGTGCCTTGTGCTCCGCTCCACGGTTGCCGAGCTGCTGGTCCGCTCGCCCTGTCGTCCCCTGCAGCGCCGTTGCCTTGCTTGTGTTGTCTTGTACTTCACTGCACGGCTGCCGCACTGCATTCCTTGCAGTCGTTTTTGGCGTTGTGCAGCCTTGTTGCCTCTACTGTGTTGCCTGGTGCTTCACAGGGTTGCTGCTTGCTGCTGTGTTCCGTTTTGGACAGTCTGCCTTCAACAAGGGTCAAAGGGTTCATGACCCAAACCATCAAATACGGAGATTCCGCAGATTGTTGAGGGTTCAGCCTCCTGATAAGTCAGTGCAATTCCGACGAAACAATCTATCATCAGTTTTGTTTTTTTCAGTCTTTGCTTTTTGGTATTTATTTTTTCGGTTGCTGTGCTTCCCTTCTACTTGTTTAGCTTGTGGTCGTTTCCCTTGCTGCCGTATGCTGTTCACCTGCTAATCCGTTTATCCTAAGCCTCTTACCTGACGAGCGTTGTTGCCCTGTGTTCTTTGCCTGCTCGCCTCCCCCATATCCTTCAACCTATGTCCTTTGTGTCATTGTTTTTCGTGCCTCACTGCCTTGTGTCGTTTGTCTGCCCACCCGCCTATGTCCTTCGTGTCACTGTTCTTCGTGTCTCACTGCCTTGTGACGTTTGTCTGCCCACCCACCCGCCTATGTCGTATGTCCTTTGTGCCATTGTTCTTCGTGCCTCACTGCCTTGAGTCGTTTGTCTGCCCACCCGCCTCCCCCGTGCCCTCCATCCTATGTCCTTCGTCGCGGCTCGTCGTTCTATGCCTTACTGGTTGTGTCTTGTGTTCTGAATGACTAGTGGACTTGCAGTGCTACGTTAAGCGTTGTCTATTGACTTGACTCACTCAGATGCGTGTTTCCTCCTGAAGTATTGTGTCGGTATGGGGCACAGTATCTGTGCCGAAGATGTTCGCTATGTGTCTTTGCACACACATCAACACACACACACACACACACACACACACACACACACACACACACACACACACACATGCAATCATTCAGGCGGCAAGCACACGGGATCTCAGCAACCATGGACACGTACAAATTCCCAAATCTCGGCAGAACATGGTGATCTCAGCAAGTCAGTCAAACAAGCAGCAATACTCAGAAAACAGCAGGTTTCTCAGTCTGTGATTTTGCAGGTCATTACAGTCGGGAAAAAAAGAAGGTTAAAAAAACAGTTGTACATTGTAATAGCACATCCTTGGAATGCAGCAGGCATGTAAATTTTACCCGATCCTGACATAGGGAGGTGGGGAATAAAATTATGAAAGAAAGGATAAAAAAGACAGAAAGACAAGGAAAAAAACAAAAAAGAAGTTAAGAACAAAAACACAGTTGAAAAACAAGTCGGAAAAAAAGAAAGTTGAAAAAAAACGTTGAAAGAAACTTTGAAAAAGTTGGGGAAAAAAGTTTGAAAAAATAATTGAAAAGTCAGAAAAGACAGATACAAGTTTTTTTTTTTTTTTTTTTTAATTTTATTTTAACTAAGCTATATTCTTCTCTCAATTTCACCTTTCACCACTTACCTACCACTACTCCTAAGCCTATACATACAGGGGACCCCTGCAAGCATAGTTACCTCTCACAATCAAGGGGATGCATGTTGCCCCCTGGCCTAATCGGTGGTGGTCAGGGAGTAGGGTGGGGCCACCGATTGCGTGCCTAACCAACTGAGCTAGGTAGCTTGCTTGCTGAGAAACAAGTTTTTTCTTCAATGGTTTAAACCATTCCTCCTTAAAATTTAAAAAACAATCAGAGGAAAAGGGGGGGGGGGAAATATCAAAATTCAAATCATAATTGCAAGAATTGCGTGCATTAAGGGTTTGGCTGATTTCTATCCCTACAACTGTCTTGCCCAGACTCATGCTTGCCGGTGATAAGCAACCCGACTGATGCCCCCCCCAGAATAGAAGGGGCCCTGTGCACTTTGCTAAAAAAAAAAAAAA